CCCATTCTCGATGAATTGATCAACACTAGTCGATTTAATGGACGAAGGGTAACAGTTGGTATTATTACCAATTGCCTCGACGAGGCACAGGAGCAGCAGTTGTAGGTTGTCCACAGGGCGGCTCTCATGCGCTTGTATCCACGTTCGGTCCTAGACCTTCGTGCGGAATACGGCTTCCGCTCGGCGGATCACGCAGCTGAAGCGAATGATGCGATCCCTCGATCGTTGGGCGTTGACGTAGTCGGGCGCCCAGCCACTACACAAGCTGAGCTTGATCAGCGTAAAGCTCTACGAGCCCACGTTTTGACCAAGAAATCCCATTGGAGCAGTACCGCACTCGACTTCGAGCCCAGATAGGAGGCATTTTTGTACCCGCAATGCGGACTATTCCTGTGGTGCTCGCCCCTGGCAAAACCGCTGCAGATGATAAGGAGCTCTTTGAGCGATGGGTGCAGCGGCACCGGAAACTTTCCTCGCTGTGTACCTTTATGGCCTTGAGCCGCTTAGGTCGTAGACTCACCCGATTGGAAAACCACAGAGCTTTGCGGGAGCGTGATGGATGATCCCATGTGTCGCATGGCGACATAACGTAGGAAGACGGCGTTGCGCCTTGTATCTGGCATAATCAAATCGATGATGGCGCTCAGCGCGTTCGTTCATTTCCTTGTGGTCTTGCTGTGCTTGAGCTCAGCTCATGGCTCTCCGGTTCCCCGGGACACTGCCGAGAAGCGCGGGGCGCACGACGACGCAAAGCGTCACGACGTTTAGGCAGTCTTGCCGAAGAGGCACATCAAACTCAAACGAGCTCTCGGAGTTTGAGTATCCCCGCCAATTCACAAGATATTGGGTTGACTCTGGCGACGCCGTTGACCCACAAGACGTTCCACGTGGTAGTGGACGACACAAAACTCATCGAGAAGAGTCGGCGGCGGGCGATGACGACTTGGTCGATCGCCGTGCGATTACTCGCGATGCTCTTCGAGATATGGAGGCAAAAGGCCTTCGTCATCGGCGTACCGCCGG